AAAAAAATATATATATATAAAAATAAATACATGTATATGAAAATATAAATAAATAATAATACTAATAAGGAAAGAAGGAAAGAAAGGAGTTAATAAAAACTAATTTGAGTTCACTAAAGGATTAATAATAAGGGGCTAAAATGTTGTCAGACAAAGTTTTTACTTAAAGGAGAACTATGAGGGGGGTGATTTCCACTCACCTCATAGTTCTAGCCGACCTGTGACAATGAGACTGTCACAGGTCGGCTCAGTAGATCGGGAGGTGAGCGAACACATACCAGGTTCGCTCACCTCTCGATCCTGTCACGGCTCTCTGCCGTGACAGGGGGAGGGTCTGGATTACCCCCTCTCCGATCCTCCAGCGCTGACTGGCGGAACGAACGGGGGAGGGGGCAGGTACAGCTGGCTCTGCCTCTAGATAGGCTGTAGCTCGCGGTATACTGAGCTTAGGGTAACGGGAGGACGCTAGTTTGCGTCCTCCCGTTACCCTAAGGAGAACTATGGGGAAAAACACTGACCCCATAGTTCTCCTTTAATTTTTTTTATTTTATTTACACGTCATGGTAAGTTTTAACTACGACAGTAACTTCTATTTATAAATGAACGCAGAGCATGAAATGAGCTGTCTAGCCCTCCCTTTGCATTAACTGGAGCTCTGTGACAGCCAGGGGATGAGGCGGGAGAAGCTTCTACCCCAGTAGCCCAAGGCAGGTGCCTCTTCTGCCTCGGTCTCGGGCCAGCCCTGGATACACTTTAACCATTCGAGTCCCTCCTTCCATTCTAAAATGGCACTGGGACAGTGGCTAGTTATCCCAGCTCCTGTGGTTCCCGGCCACCCCTAGCATTGAAACTACATTGTTATTTTTTAAAAGAATGGAATTCAGTAAAAAAAAAAAAAAAACTTCTACAGGATTTGTGTGAAAATACTGATTTGCTTACCTGCTGCCACTGCGATCATTATGGAAAGTGCCCCCATGTCTGTAGAAGACGGGGCGATCGGCCGGAGTCTCGCTGTGTCTTCACTCTCTGAAGGACAGAAGTTTCTATCTAGGAATCTCATCTTCTGTAAAGCTTCCTCATTCTTTAGAATAATAGGAATATGATGAACAGTTCCTCAGGTTTCTTCTCTTATGTAGCCAGCTGGGGACCTTTGTGAAGTTTATAGGACGCTTCACTCTATTATATACTTTAGAACAATTGGCCACATCAACAACAATTTAACCCTTTCGGTCCGCGGGAATCTTACCAGTACACTGACCCATGTGACTTCTCCTATAAAGTTAGGAGGACAGGTTTGAGTTTGGGTTTATATCAGGATTAAGGTTACTGTTAGGTTTAGAGATCACATTAGTGTCATATAACACTGGCCATCCGGTCACTGACCAGAACTCACCAGTGGAAGAATCATTTTGGGGGGCACCTGATCGTATGATTCACTCCTTGGCTGGCTGGAGGAGTGCGGCGGAGCTCAAATGCCAGCGATATTTTCCGATGGGATCGCCAGTGTAAAATGGGGCCCTTAGGATCAGGGTTAGTCATTTATTAACAAGAGCAGGCCCAGCATAGTTATAAGGGCCTTACCTAGCTCTAAGTACCTGAAATGAGACTGTAATGGCGAGGAGGCCTCCCTTGCACCTCGGGTCTTGAGGCCTCTGGGGATGGATACAGAGACCTGGCGTACACCGAGTGGCACGAGTGCCAGTGGTGAGGAGCACCGTGCAAGCCTAAATCCAAGATCCGCGCCGGGGTCAGTTCCAATCGGGCAATGAGGTACAAAAGGGCAAAGCAGAAGAATGGTCAATACACGAATCCGAGGTCAAGGGCAGGGAGCAGGCAAGAGTAGTCACGATGGTTCCGGGTCACAACATGTCCAACAAGATAACACAACAGCACAGGAACAAGGAGAGACTGAAGATAACCCAGCAATTCGGCAGTGTCCATGCTGGGTTTATATAGGGGAAGTGATGATTGAAGATAGGTCACTTCCTGTGCGCCTCCTTGGCGCGTTCCCGCTGCATCGACCCGCCTACGCATTCGCAGGTTGGCGCGCAGACGGGTACTTGGCGCATGCGCAGTTGGCGCAGCATTTTTCCCGTTCGTGCAATGACGCGCCCTTGGTGCATGAGCAGTCAGCACTGAACTCTTACAGTACCCAACGAAAAGAAAAACAATGCCGGCGCCTCCAGGTTCAAAGACAGGCCAGCTGTAACGATAATTGGAACACAAAAGAGGCAGCTCCCACCGGTCAGAAAGACCATCGATCTGGGAAACAAAGAACAAAACAGAGCGCCTCCATAGTGTAAAAGCGTAATTTATTTGTACGACACACAACTGAAATTGTACTTACAAAAAAGTTGGTGGTTAAAAGCATGTAAAAGTCGATGAAATGTAAAATCTCTAGCAGCGGGAGCCTGAAGGGATGAAACACATCAGCGTCCTCTGCCCCTGTGAGTTCAAAAGGTCTACGCGTTTCTACGCGTTTCAGGCGCACGCCCCTTCATCTACGCGTGCCCCTGAAACGCGTAGACCTTTTGAACTCACAGGGGCAGAGGACACTGATGTGTTTCATCCCTTCAGGCTCCCGCTGCTAGAGATTTTACATTTCATCGACTTTTACATGCTTTTAACCACCAACTTTTTTGTAAGTACAATTTCAGTTGTGTGTCGTACAAATAAATTACGCTTTTACACTATGGAGGTGCTCTGTTTTGTTCTTTGTCTTACAGTACCCATTAAAAAGCATCCTACCTAACTGTGGCCCCCAAAGCTCTTACTATAATGTGCAAATATCCAGGCCCGGATTCCCCACAAGCATGCTATCACACAGGAGCTAACAAGCACCTGTGTGATAGCATTTGGAGGTGACAGGTTCTCTTTATTGAACCTGTCACCTCCAAGACAGAAGTTCTAGCGCAGCATTGTGCTGGAACTCCTGTGACAAGTGAGAGGGGAAGACTGCTCTCCCCTCTCACTGTTTACACGGTGCGGCATGGTTACCAGGGATCCCAACCTGAAAAAAGCAATTTCAGGGAGGTGCCCTTCTCATTTCAGGGAGGTGCCCTTTGCCGAGAAAGGGGGGAGGAGAGAGCGCATTTGATTCTATAGTATCCACAAAGGGTTAACAGCACTCTCTCAACCCTGCAGCAGTAGATCTCAGTGCCTGTACCTGCTCTCAGTTGTAGTCTATGTCCGCCCTCTGTGTGCAGCAAGTAGCTTCCGAGAGCCAAGCCTCGTTCTGAGGCTACTCTAGAGATCACATGACCTTCCTCCAGGAGGCAAGCCTCACTCTGAAACCTTATCCACTGATATACCGGAAAGGTTTACTCAGAGTAAACCTTTCAGGGAGAAAATGCCTCTCTCGCGGACATCAGGGAGCTGCTGTCCAAAAGAGGGAGACTCCCTGAACATCAGGGAGACTTGAGATCCCTGCACAAGGCCATTGCGCAACCTGGCCTTGGGGCAGCAGGGAGAGTAAATCCGGCCCTGCAAATATCCCTGTCCCTCACAGTGATTACCTTCTGTGTCACTTGCCCCTCCTTCTAGATTGTAAGCAGGGTCCTTCTAATCTTTCTGTGTGGTATTGCAATTGTACTTGTGCTGTCTCCCTGTGTGTTGTAAAGAGCTGAGCAAATTGTTGGCGCTATATAAATCTTGTATAATAGGGATACCGATACCGAGTATTTCTTACTCGCCCAAATGTTCTCGATGCTTATCCTGATACCGGGACATCGGGTATCAGGGAGCATTGCGGAGAGTCATCACACAGGAAGCCGGCTTCATGATCCCTCGTTACCAGGGAGCATGGAGCTGGCTTCCTAGCCAATCAGGAAGCCAGAGAGCGGGTAATGACTGGCCCACCAGCTTCCCACTTTGTGACGAGGGAGCATGGAGCCGGCTTCGCAGCCCTTCAGGAAGCCAGGCGGCGTGTGAGGACTCATCACCCTCCTGATTGGTCGAGAAGATGGCCAATCAGGAAGCGGTGTGGCGAGTTATTACCCGCCCCTGGTTTCCTGATTGGCCAGAAAGCCAGCTCCATGCTAGACATGTGCGATTTGTTTTTGGAAAAATTAGTTTTTCGGCTTTTCGTTTCTTCGGAGATTCGGATGTATCCGAATTTCCGAATAACAGAAATGACGATTGAAAACTAATCTGAATTTCCTGAAAACGCAATTTGGGACGAAAAATTTTCGTTTGTGGACGAATTTTCGTTGCAGCAAAGTGACATCATTTTTTTTTTTTATTTCAATGTCACTTTGCTGCAACGAAATGAACAAAACGAAAAACAAATACTCGTACAGACAACCGCTTATGAATTTCGTCCGAATCCAAATCCCAAAACGAAATGACATTCGGACCCGAATCCCGAAATAACGCAAAATCCGAATCAAAACTAAACGAATGTTTTGCTGGTGCACATGTCTACTCCATGCTTCCTCGTCACCAACAATTGGGATTAGTCCCATTGCAGTAAAGACAACTACTTTTTTGTTACCGAAGTGCTGAGGTGACGAGGGAGCATGCAGCCAGCTTCCCGGCCAATCAGGAAGCCGGGTGGCGAGTCAATACATGCTGCCCGGCTTCCTTAACGGGACTTCCGGTATTGTTATTCGGTATCGTCGAGTACCGGAAAACAAATATCAGTACTCGCACTCGATACCGGAAAACCGATATCGGTGCATCCCTACTGAATAATAATAATGAGAACAATTGCGTTAAAGAAGAACTATGGGGTCAGGGCTTTTCCCCATAGTTCTCCTAAGGGTAACGGGAGGACACAAACTAGCGTCCTCCTGTCACCCTAGGCTCAGTATATAGGGAGCTACAGCTCGCGGTATACTGAGACGCCGCAGCCGGGACGGATCCCAACATTACTGTCAACATCCACCCAGCTGCGTGAGTGACAGCTGGCTCTGCCTATCTAGAGGCAGAGCCAGCTGTGCCCGCCCCCTCCCCCGTCCGTTCCGCCAGTCAGCGCTGGAGGATCGGAGCGGGGAGGCGTGGAATCCCTGCGGGGAGCCGAGAGTGACAGTCACAGCTCTCTGCAGGGAGATGATGGAGAAGTGAGCGAGCGGCGGTATGTGTTCCCTCACTTCCCGATCTATTGAGCCGACCTGTGACAGTTTCAGTGTCAGAAGTTATGGACACCGGTACTCCAAAGTAGAAAAACAACGTCTCTTTATTGACGTTTCATGCAACAGTAAACAGTACACTTATTGCAACGTTTCGGGGTCACACAGGATCCCCTTCATCAGGCAGAACAAGTTTCAGTGTCACACGTCGGCTCGAACTATGAGGGGAGTGATTTTCACTCGCCTCATAGTTCTCCTTTAATAAAGGGGGGACTCATTGCTATGGAAGCAGCTATAAGAAAACGGAGGTCTTGGTTTCAATAAATCATATTATTTAATTCTTCAAAGACAGGTCAGGAAACATTATGTCATCTGAATTTTTATTCATGAGGGCTTTTCATCTGATCGCAAAGCATATTTTTGGGTGCCCACGACGCTCTCCAGTCTCTAGTGTCTCGGGGAGAGGAAAAGGTCATTATCTGTACAACAAGAGTTAACAAATTGACTTACATAGTTCACATAGTTAAAGGAGAACTATGAGGGGTCCGATCCTCCAGCGCTGACTGGCGGAACGGACGGGGGAGGGGGCGGGTACAGCTGGCTCCGCCTCTAGATAGGCAGAGCCAGCTGTCACTCACGCAGCTGGGCGGATCTCGACATCGATGTCGGGATCCGCTCCGGCTGCGGCGTCTCAATATACCGCGAGCTGTAGCTCCCTATATACTGAGCTTAGGGTGACGGGAGGACGCTAGTTTGTGTCCTCCCGTTACCCTAAGGAGAACTATGGGGAAAAGCCCTGACCCCCATACTTCTCCTTTAAGACATAACTCAACAATATCTTCCAAATCTTGAAACTTTTCTACTTGGGATGGCCGTTACATAGGTTGAAGTACATGAGGTACAATTAAAAAAAACAAATATATATCCAATTAGTTCACCTAAAAAGAAAACATAAAAAGACACCGGATCCTACAGTGCAGAGAATCCTCAGACCAGTATTTTATTATGCAGAATTTGACAGATAATCCATTTCACAGATCTGACTTGTTTTTGCCATAGACACCCCCCCCCCTGGATAGACGTGAACCAGCTAAGGGACAATGTGATCCTCTTACCAGTCCACAGCCACATACCACAGTCAGAAGAAAGTGGCTTGGCACAAAGACTTATGGGTCTTAAATGACACAGATGCTGTTATGAAGAGTTCCTTTGTCATAGAACACCCATAGAACTGTTTGCTGGCCCCTCTGGGAGACAGGGGGCCCAATCGGTCAGAGAAGTTGAGCAGAGGAGAAAGCAGAAAGAAAGGGAAATGGTAAAAGGTGCATTTATAATGGGTGACCTTTCCACTGAGCTAAGTAAGCAAAAGCTCTAACTGGGCTACTGAACTTTGAGCATGACCAATCCTCAGACTTCCTGAAGGAGCCCCGTGGTGAGAGGATCTGAGTGGTCAGCAGTATCACGGTGTTGGAATATCTATTACATTATGTGTTTTATAGAAATAAACGGAGAATACAAGTTCCTTCCTGATGCCGACGACAGTTTTTTGGTTATAGATAGGTGAGCAGAAGAGAAGCCAAGACCAGGATCACCCAGTGATGGCGTGAAGGGCTGGCGGTCACTCCATTGTCCAGGTTATCTATGACGGTTCCGGGACCTCTTGTGACATTTGTGCTGGTGAAGTCTCTTCCGCACGTGTTGGTTGGTGAAGGAATTCCGGTCACATTGATGAATGGTACTTGGAGGTAACCGCTGATCCAGTCTTTATAGGCTGTCACAAGGGTGTACACCCCGGGGCGGTTTGGGGACGCACAACCGTCTCCCCAACTCACAACTCCAACTTGGTACCAGGCACCCTGAACTTTACACACCAGAGGTCCTCCGGAGTCACCCTGGAAGACATCAGTGTCCATCAGTTAGAATGTCAATTCTCTGCCTTCCTCTCTCTCCTTTTCTCTCTCCCTCCTTCTATCTATCCTTCTCCCTCTCCATCCTTCTATCTATCCTTCTCCCTCTCCCTCCTTCTATCTATCCTTCTCTCTCTCCCGCCCCCCTCTCTCTCTCCCCAGCCTCTTTGTCCTCTCTTGTGATCTTTGATGACACAGAGGTGACACTCCGGCCTGTGGGGAGAGATTCTCTCTCTGTGTTCTCTGGACACATCTATGGACTGCCGTGGTTGGGATCACACCGCTCACCTGGCAGGAGTCCTTCCGTCCATTTCTGTAGCCGGCACAGATCTTCTCCTCTTGGATGATGACGGTGCCAGAACTTACGGAGGAGTCCACATGATACATCTGGTCACATGTCTGGTAGTCGATTAAGGGAATCATGACTTCCTGGAGGATCCCATTAACGGGTCCGGACCCTGGAAATGGACACGTGGAAGCCAAAAGTTAGAAAAAATATTTCTTTAAATCCTATTCCTTTTATTATCATTCTTGTCATATAAGGCAATGTGCTCATGTGCTAAAGAAGAACATGCTGATAGAAGGAGAGAACAGAGTGACGGAGAGAGGAGCTCATCAGTCCGCTGCTTCTCTCTGTGCTGACCAGAGCGCAGAGGGGCGGCAGCGGTGACCTTTTCTGAGCTGACTTACCGTTAAAGACCGTGGCACCCCAGCCGGTCACCCAGCAGTCCATACCGCAGGGGAAGGTGACGGAGGAGGTGGGTAGACAGATGGGCATGATGTATTGGGTGAAAGTGATGGGATTGGCCAGCTTCACCAGAGCGATGTCCCCCACAGATCCCGTGTCTGTATAATTGCCGTCTACTATGATTGTTGCTACATCAGCAGCAACCGTGTGATTCGAGTTCACATCCAGCTGATTCAGGCCGAGATAAACCTTATAATCCGATGTCTGGACTGGCCTGGAACAAGGAAAATATTGTGTTTTATTGAGGTGCCACCTGCTGTTCAAGACAGAGTAATGCAGCTCAGACCACATACAGTATAACATGATGTCTGGGTGGCTTGTCCTGTGATTGATTTTGTCCAAGCAGGTGTTCATCAAGAATTCTGACTGAGAACGTATCTTCTCATAATCCCCGTTTAAAGTGTGTGCCAAGCCAAGACCATGTTTTAGCTTTGGACGGAGTGGAGAAGGATTAGAACTCCGGTTGAGTTTTACTGCTATCTGGCCCTTCATTAGAGGCATTTTGTCTCACTTCCTGTCCTGATGACCACAGTTTCACCAGACAGGAAGTGAAGGAAGATCCTCAACAGGGACACAGATATAAATAAATATATGACAGGGGTTCTGGCCTTACCCTACTCTGCTTATGAAGAAGCATTGTTATTTCTGCCTAAGTTGTACCTCCACATTCATTCTATTATACCTACCGACAGTATGGACCCGGATACTGGGATCAGAACCAGAATGGTAGCCATGAGGTTTGCCACCTTTTCTTCAAGTGAAACCCGAACACTCTAACACCGCACAGCAATTTGTTTTTGGGAAGATACAAGAGAGAGTGAGGAGAGACAGCCAGGAGAGAGAGCAAGGGGAGAGAAAGCAGAGACAGCCAAGAGAGAGAGAGTGAGGAGAGAGAGCCAAGAGAGAGAGCCAGGGGAGAGAGCCAGGAGAGAGAGGAGAGACAGCCAGGAGAGAGAGAGAGAGGAGAGACAACCAGGAGAGAGAGGAGAGGAGAGACAGCCAGGAGAGAGAGGAGAGGAGAGACAGCCAGGAGAGAGAGGAGAGGAGAGACAGCCAGGAGAGAGAGGAGAGACAGCCAGGGGAGAGAGGAGAGACAGCCAGGGGATAGAGAGAAGAGACAGCCAGGAGAGAGAGGAGAGGCAGCCAGGATAGAGAGGAGAGACAGCCAGGAG